AGGAATAAATTGAATATTGAGAGTGATTTAAAGCTCTAACTAGAGCCGTATTTAAAATTTCTCCACTTAGGAACAACAGCATTTTGCCGCCCTTCTTCCCTGAAGTGTAAAACCGAAAATAAGTGTTTCAAACTATTCTTTAAAAAGCCACTCGCAATTAATTTTCCCCATTTCAATCATTATTACACAATATTTGTAATTAATATTAAATTTAAAATTATAACTGAGTTATAATTAAATATATAAATTAAGTTTTAAAAAATTGTCTTTTATAAGACTAATGGTGGTTTTCTTAAATAATTTAATAACTTTCGATCTGAATGTCACATTCCCATACAAATCAACATTAAATTAATAGCTGTATCTCAATAAAAGACCATGTCAAATAAAATACCTACTCTTAAATAGATATAAATGTTCTACGATATTAAATAATAAAAATTATTTTATAGTATAATATTTATCTTTTATATAATTTTATTTTTTCATAAACAACTTCAATTGAGAATGCAAAAAAATCGATCTGGTTTTCTTTAGAATCACCGTAAAAATATTCCCGCCCCAAACTTCCTCTTAAACATGGCCCTGGCTCTAACTGGCCAGTTTCAATCCTGATAATGACTATTGTGGTAAACAAGCATTGTCAAAAATTTCATTAAATTATTTAACTTGTAATCAATTGGGTATAATTGTTTTTTAATTATTTTTGTAAAAACCGACATAAATTTATAATCATAAAGCATAATATTCTATGACAATTAATCTATATTTAGTATAAGCCAAAACGTTTTTTCAAATAAAAACGATTCATTCATAAAAGATTCATATTTTTTATAAAGTAGTGATACATAGTTAGCATTAACTGTAATGAGATGCACATTGTATATTAAATGAAATATTATGACTTTTAGTATACTATTGATAAAATTAATAAAATATCGTTCTTTTCTGTAGGTATAAGCACATATGTCTAACGATTATAAATAAAGAATAAAGTATATTTAATGTCACTCTAACACATGCTATTGTCGAGAAGAAATCTGAAGAATATAAATAAGCAATATTGCTTGATAAATTACTAAATTACAGTTTATGTGACCTGCGACGAGAATCGACATCTCAAACTACAAGATAAATATTTTAAATAAAGGATCCATTAAACATGCCACTGTTGGTCCAGGGCTCAGTCCACTAATTTTAGATCTTTTGCCAACAATAGGCTTATGTATGAACCAAAATCTATACAAAGGTAATGATCCAGCACAGTTGGGGGACAATCTTAGTGGAATTGTTCCCCGATAACAGTACACGATTCGTATAGTGGCTTATTTCTTTTCAAGAGTCTTGCTTAGGTGTGTACACACAGATCCGTATTTAAAAATTTGGCACCTTCGGGCATATAATTTTTGCCCCCCTCCCAAAAAATAAATAATAATAATAACTATAACACTTATTATTTCGTCCATAATCGAAATTCTTTAATATTAAAATATAACTTATAAACGAAAATCGTTTAATACATTTTTTAATTAACAAATTAAACAAATTATAACATAACTAGCTGAATTACCCGGCTTCGCCCATGTGTAGTTTTTGCTTTCTCAAAATGAAATTGTTAAATCAACACACATTTTTGTGTTTTAAAGAAGAAAAAAATTTATTTTACTTAATGCTATCAAGTGACAAAAAGTAGTAGTATGCTGAATTATAAATAAAACAAAAAAAATAATAATAATATTTATAAATGACACTTTACGTAGTTGCTTAATTCTAATATGGCTTAAGTCAAAACCTCTTGGTACATCACATTCTGAGTTTTATTTTGTGGTGCATAAACGTATAAATGGTCAGGTCTTCCAACTCTAGATAATGCCACATACAATTTCCCATGTGAAAAACAATTATTTTCCAAATCTACACCACAGTAAGTTAAATTCTGACCTTGGACTTTATTTATTGGAAATTGAACTCTTCTAAACTTAACTAGAAAGTCGTTGGGGTATAATGGTATTTTCAGTAAAATATTTTTTCTCCTTTAGCACATCCGGTCAAAATTGCAGCTTCAATTTTATTTTTTGTAAGAGAGGTTACACGGAGCCTAGTCCTATTACATAATCTAGAAGAATTCAAATTTTTCAATTATATGATTGGAACTCCCATCTTCAGTGATATTTTATGAGGAGGCATACCAGATGGTGTTTGTGAATTTAAAAATTCGGTAGGAAAATGTACCAATTCTTCACTATTAATAACTGTATCGATAAAAAAGTAATCCATTTCTAGTGCTTGAAATTCATTAATTATTAGTGATTTTATTAAGTCAGTTCGGTTATTTGTGGTTGTCAAATTAATGTGGTTTTCCATATAATCCTACATAAGTCATAGCAACCGTAATCGGTCAACTTCTATTGATATTCTTATATGAATATAGATATATAAATTACATGTAAAAAAATTATTTTTACCAATTTCAACCCTTTAAAATCAAAATTTTGAAAATCGGATAACATGGTGATACTTAGGAAGGTATTTGGAATAATTCTTTAAAAAAAAAAAAATTAGAAAAAAGTTAAATAGCGTCGTCACAAAATGGGTACATAAAAAAGGCCTGTTCTTTTATATATATATAAGGATAAAACATATAATTTTCTTTTTTTTTAAATTAACAAATTACAATATAATAAAACTTCAATTTTTTTTTTAATTTACAAATTATAACATAATAAAACATACTATTTTCTTTTTTTTTTTTATTGTTTTATTTTTTTTTCATTAGTTACATCATTTTTAAAATTAATTTTGCTAAAATATTTTACCGCCCCTGAGACTTGACGCCCCCGAGCAGGTGCCTACTCGTGCCCCCCCTAAATACGAGCCTGTGTACACACGAACTTAAGCAAACTTATAATTTCGTGTGTGTGCATCAAGAATTTTAAATAGAGACATCTGTGCAAGTGCTGAATCGAACTCGCCGATAACCAAGAATATTGATATTAATAATTACGCATTTTGTTCATTCAAATTCTTAATCCGATGACCAAGGAGATTATTAGTCTCCAAATATTAGTAGTTCCATATATTGTGTGGTTGACCTTATCTATTCTTGGATTTAACGAAAGAGATCTGTACTTATAACTATCTATCATAGTGATATGAAAATACATCATCTACTTCCATAACTCTTTTTTGAATTATTACAAAACTATATAAAGTATCTCCATTTCTACGATTTCAACTTTTCAAGTGAACGGATTATTATCGTTATTTCATCTAAAATCTAGATTCTAGATGGAGATATTCAAAATTTACCTTAATTAGAAAATACAAAATCTTAATATTGAAGAAATAAAGATTAAACACAATTAATTCAATATAGAATTTTTTTAAAAATAAGACATTCGACAAATTATTGAATTGGCCAAAAATGTCAGTGTTGTCGTGCTATGTGATAAAAATTAATTCAAAATATCATTATTAAATGGTATACTATCATTACCATTCAGTAGCATAGCTATCATAGATCAAAGTGGGGCAGTGACTCGGAATCTAAGAGCATCTTGAATCTTTCTGAGACTATACTTTTTTTTTTTTTTCTACACTAAAATTCTTTAAAATAATTGAACATATATGTGTAGTTTACAATGAATTCTCAAGTCATACGTGATGATTCCAGTTAGAATTGGTTTTAAAGCAAAATAGTAATTCACACCATGTGCAATATGTTGTACCTATATAATTTTTTATTTATTTATTTCCGATGGATTAGATAAAAATTGATAGTTTAACATAAGTAAGTATATAGGCTATCGTACTGTTCTAGACCTCACGATGACACATAACATATGACCAACTTGTTTATAGTAATAAACTAGATTTTCTTTATCAAGAAGAACTAATTATCCGTTAATTATATCCATTTATCCAGGCTTTAATGTAAGGTGCAGTAGCACACTAATTGCGCATTAGGAAATATAAAATGTGCAGTTGATTCTGATAATATGCGTACTTGAGAAATACAGCAAAAATGATTCATTTCAATTTGCCACCTTTATCATTATTGGACCCAAGATACGCGGTTTTATCGTGAAGTAATGAAACATGTCGCCGAGTAAAAGACACTACTAAGGTACGTGAACAAAGTTGGTTCAAAGGAGTGTTCGTAGAAGCATCTAAAATTCAAGGTCTAAAAAGGTATTTACAAGATATTGAAAATAATAAAGCGAAAACGCATTCCAAAAACAGATAATATTAAAAAATAATTTTCATTCATAAATATGTTTAAAAATATTATAATTATTATGTTTTTTTAAAAGCAGTATAAGGGGTTTTAGCTCCTTCCTTTGAATGTGTTTTATTATGTAATTACGTAATAAATACTTAATAGGTATGTTTTTAATTGAAGATAAGTCAAAAGAACTAAAAATACATTTTTCATATTTTTATATTTTTTAAGTAAATTTTAACTAATATACATTTGTACTTTTTAATATTAAATATTTTGTCTTTCTGAAAATATAAATTAGCTCCCCCAATTCATATTTCTAAATTCGCCTCTACATATAAATTATTTGATTAAATATGGCATTTTATCTATCTATAACAATATAAAAATAATAATCTTCATTAATTAATGTATGAATAATTTGCATTAAATTAAAAAAAAAGTTTCAATTTCTTTAGATGATGTGAACAAAACTGTTATTTGAAAATTATTTTCTAATTATTTCATTGCGAGAAAAAACGAAATTTTTTTTCTTCTATGACCTGAAGTATTATGGTAATACCAGTTGGTAAGTTTTCGACGGTGTGACTCTGAGAACATGACAAAATCGAGTGATATTTATTGAGTTTTGAAAAATTAAAATTATAGCATGACACGATACTCGTATTTGAAAATGCGCGGCGAACGGGAACTTGACCGACGGCTGCACTGTGCGCTACAGATTCCCTCCATCCGATTCTATTGGCCCGCGACCGCCGTGCGTTACGCGATTGGTTACTGGTCAGTGTCGTCAGAGCGTTCGCGCGGTTTGGTAGATCATTGTCTTCATCGCCCGTCTCCACCGCACCCGCATACAAACCACACTCACTATGGCGACTGACAACGGTGACTTAGACACGGATTTATCTGCGGCACCTGCGAAACGCATGCGGTACTCTTTTGCCGATGAAATCGCTCAAAATTCGCATTTTGAAGCTTTTGGTCAGCGATTCAGTGGTTTTCCGTCCGGCGAATGTTATGGTAAGTAATGCGCGACGCATCCGCTACAACCGTTATTCCGCCATTATGGCCGATTTTTTTCCCGTTTGAGTGCCGACATTTTGCCGGCAGCAGCAGGGCGTACCCCCTTCCACCCACCATCCATCATGCAGGTGACGTCATCGGTCCACTTTCTTTTCCACGACAAGTTCGTCAGTTTTTCCATGTTCCCGTTACTCATGTCGGCCACATATTTGGTTTTCAGTTCAGTCAAAATTGTCGTCGATGTTAACCGACAACTAACCCATCCGCGATTTGTAGTCCCGTTGATAACGACTGTTATCTGCGATTCATAATTTTTATTTTTTTTTTCAGTTCTAACTGTATTGCACAACAATGTAAGATTATTACATGTTCTTCCTTGGTCGTGAAACTATAATTCTTAAAAATAGTCCCTTAACTTTGTTTTGTTGTCCATCGGTGTGCTTTTAATTTTTTTTCACGTAAATATAATATGTTCCTTGATAATGATCAAAAACGTTTATGTTGTCAATTGATTTAATATATAGTAAACAGTAATGTTTACATTAAATTATAATATTTTAATTCGTTAATTATTAACTAAGAAAAATCTTCATCCTCACCACAATTATTTATTAGTTATTTAGTTGATAATGTTTTATATGACTGATATATTTTGTTTTTGCAACTTAATTATTTAACTATAATGTTCTCTAGATTATATGTTAACATCAAGAAATTTACTTCGCATAAGTGTGGCTATCCCCTTAATCTTCTGGTTTAGGTATGATTTCTCTTTTATGGATTATATTGAACTTAATTTTTAAGTATAACTGTTATTAGTTATAATTCAATGGGATATTAAAATATTTGGCAGTTAATTTGTTAAAATATATTATCTATTGCATTAAATGTAATTTTGTTCAAATATTGAAATGTTGTCTTATGTCTAATATACAATAATATAGATAAAAGTTTTATTTGTTTTATGATTTTAGCCAATAGTTTGTATCAGCAACCATACAAATCTTTAGATTCTTTATCATCGGATTATTTAATACCAACTTCACCTACGCCAAAAATAATGTCCACAAATTTGCCAGAATCTCCTGAAGATTCAAGGTATTTATATAATTATTTTTTCAATTATTAATTATGGTCGATTATTAATAGTTCTTCATTTTATAAAGTAAATTTGATGAAAGTTCAGACACTAAGGAAGAACCTGGGGATGATGATTCATCATCAACATCTAGTTCTGATTTTAGCACTCAATCTGATAACACTGATTCTGAAAAAGGCGTTGCTGGTAATTATTGATTTTAAAATCATTTTTCTTTACTTATCTAACCATATCTAATTGATTAAATATAATTAGGTTCAATGATTTGGGTACAAAAACAAATAGTCTGTGGCATAAATCCTAGACGTTTATTACATCAAGTATTTGGACCATCAGTTTTTCAGTCCCAACTGGAAGATCTAGCATTATGGAGAGTATGTTTCATTAAGTCTCTCTTAAAATATTAAATTAAAATTCAATTGTATTTATTTTTTAGATAATAATGAGTATGACTGATGATTCTCCTATGCGAAATCGCTTACGTAGTGTCAGTTCTCTTAATGATGTTGTAAGATTATTGAATACTAGCTCTCGCATTATGGTTCTTACTGGAGCAGGTGTAAGTGTTTTTAAATTAACAATCACTTATAATTAACATTAATTATATACTTATTATTAGGTTTCCGTTTCATGTGGAATACCAGATTTTCGAAGTCATAATGGAGTGTATGCTAGATTAGCAACAGAATTTCCTGACTTACCTGATCCCCAATCCATGTTTTGCATAGATTATTTCAATAAAGACCCTAGGCCATTTTTTAAATTTGCTAGAGAAATCTATCCAGGACAGTTTAAGCCATCACCATCGCATCAGTATGTTAAATTTAATTTTTATATATTTAATAATATTTTAATATAATTTTTTTATTTTTTTTTTTATCAAGATTTATAAAAGCTTTGGAGAAAAAAGGGCGACTTTTGCGTAATTACACTCAAAATATAGACACATTAGAACAAGTGATGGGTATTGAGAATGTTATTGAATGTCATGGTAAAAAAATATATTCATATTAAATTTAAATAAATGATATTTTATTTTTAAAATATTTTTTTATTTTTGTAGGGTCATTTGCAACTGCAACTTGTACCCAGTGTGGCCATAAAGTATCAGCAGAAACTATAAGGCTCGATGTTTTTGAACAAAGAATTCCACGTTGCACAATTTGTGTCAATAGTTCTGGTAAGATTTATTTTTCTAATATCTTTTAAAAAAAAACTTACAAAGTATTTTAATTTTCTCCTATAGGTATTATGAAACCAGATATTGTATTTTTTGGAGAAGGTCTTCCAGACAGTTTTCATAAGGCAATTGAAGATGACAAAAATAATTGTGATTTGTTAATAGTAATTGGATCATCTTTAAAAGTTAGACCAGTAGCTCGCATACCCAGTAAGTATAAATTGGAATTGTTCTTATAAAATTTTATAATTTTATTTTTTTATTTAGATATGATAAATAAACATGTGCCACAAATATTAATAAATCGTGAAAGACTTCCACACATGAACTTTGATGTAGAACTGCTTGGTGACAGTGATGTTATTGTTGATCATCTTTGTCGCATGTAAATATTGTATTAATTTATTTTAAATTGTTTTTTGTATGTATTTCTTACTATGCAATAAATAGGCTTGGCTCAGATTGGACTGAGTTGTGCTGGTGCAAAGAAGAATTAACTGAAACTAAAAGTCTAAATACACCTACATCATCACCAAGGTATATTCACAATTTTCATAGTCTAGTTAATAGAATATAATTATTAAAATATACAGTTTAACTAAATATATTGACAGGTCTAACACAACTACAGTAGAGGCTGTAGAGAGTGAAATGTCTACTGATTTCATAAAAGACAGTGCCAATAGTATGTCACCGCCACTCAGTGATGATAGGTTTACTCCTGGTTCTTCAGGTGAACAGCGACATTTATCTACTGATTCTACAAGAGATAGCGGTATTGATCCAGATGATCCTCAAAAATCTAGTCTAGCTGCATATTTACCATGTAATAAAAAATGAAAATGAAATTAATATTATATTTACTTTAATTATACTCTTAATTATTTAATTATTTCAGCAAATAAATTCTTTATGTTGAAAAAAAGAAGGTACATGTTTTCTGGTGCAGAAGTTGATTCAAATGAAATGAATGATGATGACAGTGAAACAGAATCAGATTCTAGTGAAAAATCAGAAACGGCATTAAACTAACAATATATATATGTATATATATATATTTGTATATATAGCTCAATTGTTACTTAAAATCCCAAATTAAAAATTTTCTTCTTTCATTCCTTGAATGAACACTTCTAAACTTCAGTCTAATAGGGATGAATAATATTGTCTCTTTTTTTATATTGTATTCCTTGACATTTCTCTGTTCTTATTATTATTTTTTTATCGACCTTAAATTTATTATTTTTCTTTTTATAATATTTGTAGCCAAAAATCATTCAAATATATGCTATGTACATAGTAATAATTGTGTTTATAATTAGTGAGTTTGAAAATAACGGTCAATTATTCATTATAAAAAGTTATTTTCTGAAGAAAAAAGTAATTTAAGTTCTAAAACCTTTTTTTTTTTTGTAATTAAAATTGAAGAAAAACTCAACAAACTTACGAATATTTTAAGAATTATATTAAAAACTTGTATAATATTTTAATACATTAATTCATAAATCACTTGTAGTTAGATATTAGATTAATTAAAAAGATTTAATATGGGTTTTCATATAATTTTTATTAGTAATGTATTTATTTATAATCAATACTAAAGAAAGGTTTAACTTAGAAGTAATATATTTAGTGGATAACATAATTTTTATAAACTAAAACATATATGATTGTTTTAAATTGATGATCGAAATCATGGGCTTTTTGTATTAGCTATATTTAATCTTATTTTTATTTAAATAATCGTTAGGAGAAATAAAACTTATTTTAATTTGATAATAAGTTTTGCTGGAAAAGTTAAAATCATAAATATTTTTCATTTAATTATATGCATTTAATATTCATTAGTTGTAGAGGGAACACTGTAAAAATGTTATGCATTTTTAGTTAATTTTTTAAAAATTCCAATCATCGCTCATTTTGATGTGCTTTAATCTATGAAACAGTACACCATTGTAACATCTTAAGAAAAAGTGATGTGTTCAAATGTTTTTATTTACCATGTTCCTTTGCAAACATATTAGCAATATATAATTATATTTAGTTACAATGTTGTTAGTTTATTTTCTGTTATGATTAAAATAATATTTTTTTCAGAGTATAAGTTTTAGTAACAAATTTATGGGAATTTCTAAGGGACAATTTTTAAATTTAGGTGACATTATTTAAATACATGACCAAATTTAGAATTCTTAAGTTTGATGATTATTCTTTCACCTAATTTTTATAATGTATAATGTTTAAACCAAATATATAATTTTTTTTATTATGCTTTTTATTCTTTAGTTATCTATTACTGTGCAAACAAATAAATATTCATTTTATTTATTTTTATTACTGCTATTTTAGTGTAGAAATAATTTTTATTAAATTCATAATTTTTTAATGTAATAAGTGAATTTAATATATTAAAAAAAGTATATAATGTGGTTTAATTGTTAACTTTTGTAGTTTTATACTATTTTGTTATGAATCTGAGTGCCTGTGTTAAACCACTCCTATCATAGTCACTATAAGACACAATTCATTACAAAAAATATGTATCAAATTAAGATATAATTTAAATATGCACTCAAGGATCAGTCTGATCATGGACTAATCTATACTTTTTTTTTTTTTACCAAATAATATTTTAACTTAACTGACTTTAAATTAATTCAACACAAAAATTGTGTAACCAAATTATAATTTTAGCACATATAGTACAATAATTCATATTTATTAAAAAACCAAAAATTATCCATATAGTCAGGATTTATATCTTCAATCATTATTAGTATATGATTTAATTATTTTGTTATATGCTGTATTATTATTAAAGACTTACATTTTACTTTTGCAACTATAGATACTTAAATATATTTTACGATAATAATAAATTGCAAATAACAAGTTGTTCTAGAGTAAAATACATATAGGTAACAATATATTTTCAGAGTAATTTGATGTAATTTTTTAACTTCTCAATATATCTCACAAAAGAATACTTACTAATTTGCGATAATATCTATATAATTTCTGAATGATATACAACGATCAATGATTATTTTTTATAGTGGTTGAGTTAGAGCTTGCCAAGCACTAAAGGTAAGTTGTAATACCTACGTTTTTAATTTGTTTGTAAGTAACTTAATCGATTTTTAAATGGAGAACAGTGCCAATTCAAATATTTGCGGGGCCCGGCGCGAAATGTATTTTTATATGAATGGGTACTTCTACACGCTTATACCGATTACATAGAATTACTACCGGCACATAATTTGGTCTATACTAGATCCCGTTAATCTTGGTTTAAATAAAATTGTTATAATAAGTTTTCATGAATTTGTTACGTTTACCAGATTATTTATTTTCTATGCAAGTCCCGCTTTTTTTTATATCGATATGTTGAGCATGACTATGCAGGATTGGTCAATTTCCAGTGTCTGCTAAATCAATTACTAACTACTGATGATTCAAAAGGAGATTCACTTAAATTCCGGACATTAGTTGATTGATTATTGTAAAAAAAAAAATGTAGATAATAAAGTTTCTACTAAATTTTCATTTTCTAAATATATAGAAAAGTTATCTTGAAGGACGTGATCAGATGCATATAAAAAAGATGATTTTTGTTTACCTATACCTATTGGACCATCAGAAATTATATGGGCTTGGTCTACACTTTATGGCTTTTAGAGACATCGGATTCTTAATTTTCTCGAAATGTAATTGGCTTATTTATTTATTTAGATATTTATGGAAGGATTCCGTTTATTATTTTATATCTTAATAATACATATTATGAACAAAGTATTGAGCACATTTATTTAATATATTTATAAAATTTAAAGTATTGTTGCTCGAGAGTAAAATTAAGTTTTATTTTTTGTTTGAGGAATAAATGCTAGGTAAATCGCAGGGCATGGTACCTGTGTGCACCTCGTCACCTCCTTAAACCGGCCCTGCATGAAAATCAAAAATCACTAATTTTTGTTGTTCAGCATCCAGTGGCGTATTTATATGCAGGCATTACTGGTACGTGCCTATAGCTACAAATTTTTGAAGATTATATGTTTTACAATATTAAAAATTATTTTATTTGTTTTTAGGTTTTCTGATATTGTAAAATATGTTACTTATACTTTTATATGAAAAAATAGTAAATAATATTATGTAATTATAAATTAAGTTTTATTATTTAAATAAAATTTGTTACATAATTAATATAAATTTTATAGTAAATAAATGATAACTTAGTCTAACATATTAGTTATTGAGGTGGGTAATTTTTCACAGACCTACAATTAGAATACATAAATACGCCCCTGTCAGCACTAAAAAATACTAAAATTAAAACTAACAATGTCGTGAATAACGAAAACCAGGCATTATAAAATATATTTAATAGTTGATTAATTAATTAATTTTATTCGAAGTTGATTTAATAGGAATACGTTATTTTATGTAACTTTCTTTTTTTTCTGATAATTCTAGGTACACTACTGTATCTTTATATAAAACTAGAAGAATTACCTGACGCTGCCCGGAAAAATAGGAAAAAATATAAATGTAAGAGTAGATTTTTTTAAAATTTTAATCATAAAATTAAAAGTTGTATTGTATGTCACATCAACATAAATGCGAACTGATCAACAATATAAAGCTACACGTCACATAAAATAGAACCACAAGACGGCAGCTAAAGAAAAAAAAATGTCGTTACTTAAATTTTGGTTTTTGTTTATTTCAACCCTTTAAAACCAAAACTATATAAAATCTTAACTTATTGCATGCCTAGACTAATACAAAAATAACATATTTAAAATCATTGAATTAACAGGTAATTAATGTTGTAGAAACCCGATCCCAGTCAAAGATAAGTTCAAGTTTGTCAAATGTAATGGAACTCTGTTAGGTGGATTGTTGTACCTACCTACTTATCTATCTACCTGTCTTTGAGTTTCCTGTTATTAATACAGTTTTATCTTATCTTAAGTGTAATAAAAAATGAAGATGAATATATTATAATATGTAAGAATAATGCAAATATTCAACACCAAAAAGCACTATGTGGGGGCCTAAAGGTGTGGCTAATAAGAACAATATCTATTATAAACTTATTTTATCATGTAATTATTGTTATATACTTGTTATCCATTCAATATATATAATATAATAACAACTTTAAACACTTATCTACTAAATTGATTATTTTTTGTTTATTGTACCTACCGACTGTATATACAACTATATATATGTTAAGGCTAGTGTCCGAATGTTGGCTAATCTTAAGTTTAGACAATGCTTTTGGGTAATGACAAAATTTCGGACTTCAGCCAACAAAAACAAATGGATAATCTTAATACCAGCCAATAAAACCAACATTATCCAACCGTTATTGGCTAATAACTAAATAACATTAACCATAGGTAAATTAAAAATTTTAAACTATTTACAATAATAATCAGGGCTTTACACCTGAATTGACCCGAACCCGTAACACCCTTAAAAACCCTTAAAAATTGAAACACCCAAAACCCATATAACCCGAATGATTTTTTTTTTTCTTTTTAATACCCGAATTAACCAAAACCCGAATAAAATATTGGTTTTAACCCGAAACCCGAATAATTTTTTATTTTATTATTATATTTATGTGATGTATTATTTTGTATATATTTTTGTGGTTATTTCAATTTTGTCATTAATTGTTTAATAGTAAAATAATTATTCACAGGAATAATTTCACAAATAATGTACAAAATTGTTTATTATTATAAATTTATCTAAATAAAGACAATAGCAATACATCATATTGATAGTTGTGCATGAATGGTATGGTATATTGAATGTTCAAGTGTAAACAACAGGGATACTATTTTTAAAATTATCCCAAGCGGATACGTCATATTATTATAATTTAATAGGTAATAGGTCGTCTACGAATTATCGAATCGTTATTTATTGCAATACTGTAAGTCTGAAATAGAACTGATGTGTCACGTATGATTACCTAAATTGCTGTTCGCGTTATTCGTATTTGTTCAGTGTATGGCGTCTAGTACTCGTGTCTATGGCGTGAATTTTCAATTTTTGTTAGTGTAATAATTTCATCGTAATATTCATAAGTACAAATTATTATTTTTGTAATACGCTATGTCCTAACTAGTGCATTTTTAGTGTGTGCAGTGCACACTGTGCACGCACCACAAACCATAAGCGGAAATTTGGTGAATTTGTGGGGGGCTGAGCATTATTTAC